TCCTGCAAGTAAAATTTGCTTATCTCAACCAAATTAATGAGGACATTTTCCTGTTTCATTGTGTAGATGTCACAGTTCTAGATTCTATATTCAGAGCCATAAAATACACGAACTAATTGCTTGAATCGAATGAGGTTTTTAGACTGCTATAAAAAATCATTACAAACAAAATGTTGGCTCATTCCTGTAATCCTAGCTACTCAGGATGCTGGGATCTGAGAACTGAAATTCAAAGCCAACCTGGGTTGGAAAGTCTGTGTGGCTATTACCTCCAATTAATCACCAAAAAGCTATAAGTGGAGCTGTGGCTAGCCCTGAGCACTAACTTAGCACCCAGGCCCTGAGTTCAACCCCCAGAACTGTCACAAAAATGACAGATATTGATTTACCCGCAGTTCTAGATTCCAGAAGCCTGAAACCAAGGAGTTTGTAGAGCCAAACCCTCTCAGAAGACTCTCGGAAAAAAATGGTTCCTTGCCACTGCTAGCCTGGTGCTCCTTGGCTTGGAAGCCAACGTGGCTGGAAGCATAACTCCACCATCTATGCTTCCTTCTTCAATGGCCTTACTCCCATTCCAGTCTTCTAAGGATGTTTGTTATGGCATCTAGAGCCTATCCAGTTAATTCAGCATGATCTCAAAGACAGCCTTCGTTTTTGCTGGTACTGAAGCTGAGGACATGGATGCATATTGGGAGACTACACCCAGCCTCCTATGTTGGGATGCAGTGTTCTATCAGTGTATCACTTGTCCTACTGCTGTTTTTTGAAAACTCATTCATTTCCCACGAAGTCACCTGGGAAGCCTTTTTGAAAAGAACAGAACACTTAAATGTGTATCTCCCTGGGCTCGCAGTCACATCACACATCTGTGTGTCTGTCTTTATGCTAATATCCCACCACCTGGTTACTGCTTTAGTCAGCCTTTTTTCCTGTGGCTCAAAGTGGTAGAGCTCTACTAGCCTTGAGCAAAAGAGCTCAGGGACAGAGCCTAGGCCCTGAGTTCAAGCCCCACAACCCCTTCCCCACAAACAACAACAACAGTGATAACCACATATCATCCAGTCAGATCTATGCAGAGCATTCCCATGGTGTTAACTGGAAAGTTCTGTAGAAGGTCTCTGTGTGAGATCTTTGTCAGGATTCCAGGAGCAGAGCAAAACTTGAGTGTGTATGTGGGGGAATTCAGGAGTGTCTGTAAAATCTCTGCAGGAGATCTCTATGAGCAATATGAACTCCTGTGAGAGAGTATGGTGTAAAATCTCCTATGAAGTCTCTGTGCTAGCTCTTGTGGCTGTGTCTCTCTGTGCATGTTGTAGGTGGACATCTTTTTGCATATTGTGTTTAGGAAATCACTTCAAGGACTGGTCAGTGAGATGTCCCTGGACTATCTCTATGGGAGGTCTCAGGGAACACTGGGTCTCAATGGAAGTCAGGCCTAATGAGTAATATCTCTACAAGGGGGGCTGCATGTGGGAACTGTTTGGCAGTGGGAGGTCTCAGGTATCTCAGTGTAAATCTCCATCAAAGAGACTTTATGGAGGTCTTCTGTGGGGATCTCTGAGAAGGTCTTCGTGGTGGTGACCATGTGTGACTGGTCACAGGTCTTTGGGAGTTCCTATCTCCATGATGAAGTCCTTGTGGGTCTGTGGAGGTCTCTATGAGCATCTCCATAATGGTGCCTCAGCTGCAGCTCAGTGTGGAAGTCTCTTGAGCCCGTGATTGTCTGTATGGATCTCTCATGTCTGTGGAGATCTCAATGGTGGTATGTACATGAATCTAGACCAGAGGTCTCTGTGGAAGTATCTATGTCTCTATTTCCTCCAGGGGTCTCCATCACAGGTCTGGAAATTTCTTGGAATCTCTATGATGGACACTGTGTGTATGTTTGTGTGTGTGTGTGTGTATGTACGGACATGGGGAAGGAGCCTTTGGTCAGTCTCAGTGAAGGTCTCTGTCAGATTGTCTGGTCCATAGCTTCATGGGTGCCCAAGAAAGGCAGAGTCGATAGCAGGAGAAACAAGAGAAAGTTCCTTGTTCCTGCCTCTGGTTGGTTCTCCAGATGTACTGTTGCACTTGTACACTCAGAATCCCTGGAGCCCATGTCCAAATCTTATCCTGATAGAACCTACCTCTCATTCCCCCAAGATAACCAAGCAGCACGGCCTCAGCAACCTTGGCTCCTCTCATTACTGGGCCCACCCTGGAGGACACTGTCATCATTAAGTAGAAGGTCTGACTGAGTATTTCCTTGCCACACTTACACCCCTACAGGCTTCTGTTCTGGTCCCACACATGGGTGCTCAGTGGCACCTCCAGCACAAGAACAAATGTGGCCTCTGGAGTGGTTCATGTTGCCCACCGGGTGTGGAATCCAGTGTGGCTCCTCTTACTCTCTTGGCCTGTTTTCCATGTGAACAGACCCTGTGATGAGGAAACTTGCACCAGATGCAGAGCAAGGCCCAGCAGGGCCATTCCTGGGTTGCCCCTCACCCCGAGAGCTGTGGCGTTTGGGGCAATTCACTTGACCTATGTGGACTAGTCATGTCTGTGGTTCTTTTTCCTGTTGATCTCTAGGGCAAAAAGGGGACTAAAGGCCAGGACAGGGTTATTGTGTGATTTCAGGCCAATCCTTCAGTCCTCACGTCCTCTGGGAAGGGTGGTAGGCTGTGAGATACAAAATTTCCTAGACTTGGCTTTAGTCCCAACTGTCAACTTATTCTTTCTGGAATTGCTGGTACTGGGGCTCAGGTGTTGGGGACTCTCCCTGAGCATTTTATTCAAGGCTAGCACTCTACCACTTGAGCCACAGCTCCAGTTCTGGCTTTTTTGGTAGTTAATTGGAGTCTCATGCACTTTCTTTTCTGGGCTGGCTTAGGACCTCAATTCTCAGATCTCAGCCCCCTGAGTTGGCTAGGGATTGCAGTCATGAGCCACTGGCGCCTGGCTCTTATTCTTTTAGGAAGTGACTCTTCCTTCAAGGTTTTGTCTCCTCTCCTTTCTGTGTTAGGGATAATGGGGTGTCTTCAAGTTTGTGATCTGAAAACCATACCTGTGAGTGAGTCCTGGGGATGGGGCCTGTGTGAATGTCTCAGTCCCTGAGGTGTCAGAACTCCATGCCAGAGCTCTGGTGCTTTCTGTCCACAGCAATGATGATAGTGTCCCTTTGCCACTCTGCCTCCTTCCTTAACTAAACCTTAACAATTCTCCCAACTCTCTCCTCTCTCCTCTCCTCTCTCCTCCCTCTTCCCCCCTCTCTCTCCTCTCCTCTCTCTGCCTCTGTCTCTCTCTCTATCCCTCTGACCTGTTTCTCTCTCTCTCTAGGTACATCATGCTTCCTTCCTCTCATAGGTTATATTGTACACACAGTTGTGCTTCAAAAGGCTGATAGATGACACTAGGAGAGAGTAATCCACCCCTCAGTGGCGGTTGTATGACTCCCCACTCACCCATAGACAGAATTGTGGTATCTATGATAGTGTGTGCTCTAGAGATAGAAGGCAGAGGTGATAGTGGGTGATACGGCTCTGCTATCCAGGCTGAGCTACAGGGGCTGGCTGGCTGGCCTCCTCTCCTTTCTAGCCTCCATCCAGGCAAGTAAGGCCTTTGGGAACAGGTGACCTTTATTCTTCTCTAGTAAATCCAGGGGGCAATGATTCTCTCAACCTGAGCCCAGGTTTGCTCCCTCTCTTTGGAACACCTCTAGTGCATCTCCATACCCACCTCCACAACTGCACAAAGTTCATCCTAGAATGAGCAGGGAGAAAGCCAGGTTGAACCAGATGCTGGGATGAGGCTCAATTCTGGATTGCCCATCCAGACAAATCCTGAAGGTTTTCTGTCGTTTGTTTCTAATGATGGACATTTAAGGTGCAGTAAGAGACCTGGGGAGAGTCCTCAGAGCCACTGTCCCACCCTGTGCTCCCATCCTTTCTAGAAGCTATTGTAGGGAAGTCCAAATGCTGACTTCCCTACACCCCGCCGGAACAGAGAAAAAAAAGCTCACTCCTTGGGATGCAATGAAATAAATTTATTAGAAGCAATACAAGACTGGGTATTGCTTTCCTCAGCAATCTGGTCACCCAGACAAGACCGATTTCTGGTAGTAGCACACTGGATGACGGTAAGTATATCTGGAGGCATGCGTGCCAGCCAGCCTATCCCAGGAGGAATTGGTTAGGGAAACAGGCTTTCTGGGCAGCAAGGGCTGATTGCTAGTCTTGTTTGTGGTACATCTATTCTCAGTAGGGTGGCCATGGCCCCTGTGACTGGCCTGATGACCACAGCTCATTATTGGGGTTTCTTCTGGATCAGAGGGATGCACGTGGTAATTAGAACGTATATCCTGGTAATTAGAGTGTATGTCCTGGTAATTAGAATGTATGTCCTGGTAATTAGCATGTATGTCCTGGTAATTAGAATGTATGTCCTGGTAATTAGAGTGTATGTCCTGGTAATTAGAATGTATGTCCTGGGATGTTTTTCCATGGTAGCACAACTGGCATGGGTCACATTCATGCTGAAGCCCCGTCTTGTTCAAGAGTATCTGTCCATCAGGCATCATGAGTGACTGGGCTTCAGTCGCCCCACTGTCTGTGTATAGTTTGCTAGTTCCTGCACCTTGGCTCTGTGTAATGGCTACTGGGAACTCAACTCCTGGCTTGGAGTCTCCTTTCTCTTGGTTTCTTGTATCAGGGTTAAGAAATTGCAGAAAATTCTGCACCTTTATCTTTTCTGAAGGATGTGGTCCCATCTCTTGGGAAGTCTCCCTCCCATTGGAGCCTACTTTCCTATCTTGGGAAGGAGGGTTCAATTCCCAACTTTGGGAAGGCTTTACCCTTTCCTGAAGTCCTGGATCAGACTTTCTATAGTCCTGTCTATCAGCATGGGAACCAAACATATTGCTTTGTTTTTGTCCTTGCACTTCAACTCTGATGTCCCTGGGAACTTGTTCTTTTTTCATCCAAAGGTCACGAGGGACTTGGGAAGTTGCTGGATTTCTTCTAGTTTGAAACATGTTCTGGGTGCTGGTTTAAAGAGGCCTTGGAAGACTGGTTGGTTGTGGTGGGGAGCTTGTCAGCGTGGCTGTGTTGGATGTCAGTGGCTGGGTTTTGTGGCTTTTTCAAGCCAACCCCCAGTTTACATTGGACCTCACAAATCAAATGGGCTTTCTGTTGGGAATCTCCAGAGTCTGGTGAAAAATTTCTGGAGGGGGAGGGGCTGTTACTAGTCCCCTGAGACTCTGAACTCTTCAGATTAATTATTCGAGAGTTTTGAAACAGACTAGTTACTGGTTTAGGAGGCATCTCCTTTTTTACCTCCTTTGTTTCCTTGGTATCTTTGGTCACTGGAGGGGGGAATGCTAATTTTTTCTTGAGAGTGGTTCCATTAAGGAAAGGGTTTCTTGAGACCATGTCCATACTCTCCTGTGGCTTAGGACTGGCCATCACAGTCTCCAGGACAGTCCTCTGTTGAGTCCTGCTTAGGAGACGGGAGGTGCTGGGTTTAAGGGGCAAGCTGCTGTTCTGTTCAGATGGGCAGGCCTCTGCGTGTCTATGGTTGATCCTAGATGGATTATGCCCCTGGGACCTCTGTATTTCTGCAGGTGACGGGGCAGAGAAGAGAAGCTTCAATGAAGCTACTGATACTTTCCCTACTTCTTCCTTCCCTGAATCTTTCTGACCGTGTTCTTCTGGTTTGGACACCTTGAAGCCACGGGAGTCTGAGGAGGGAAGTTCACGCTGTGGAAGAGGTGAAGCTGGATCTTCACATAAATTGAGATTTGAGTCACTGGCCTGCAGCTGGGGATACCATCGGTGTTTCTTCCGGCATGTTATGGTGTTGGTCTCTAACATAAGGCGACTTTTAGTATCAAGAAACAAAAGCTCCTGGAAAGTGTTTACTCTGGATGGCTGATTTGTGCAGGATACTACACTTGGTTTTGAAGGGGCATTGGGCTTGGAGAAAACACTTCTTCTAGAAAAGAAGGATTGACGCACGCGCACTGGAATCATGCCCTTCTTAATCTGTTCCAGCTTCCTCCTCAGGTGGACGTCCAGGTATTTTTTATCTAGTGTTCTAGGTAAGTGACTTCCTGAGTACTTCTTTTGCCTCGTCCCATCGTTGTTCTCCAGACCCTTCACTGGGTGCCTCTCCAGATCTTGCTCTATGCCATTGCATGGGTTGTTCAGAGGGAAAGCTACTTGGACTTCATGAGAGAATGTGGACCCTCTCTTGCTTTCACAACTGAGTGAAGTGGGCTGAGAAGGCTGGGGAAACTCATACTTATTCTGTGGCTGGCACTCAGTTTTTCCTGTGAATTTATCCTGATACTGCATCGGCTGGGGTTCTGGGAGTCCAAGGGAAGGGAAGTGCTGCCCTTGATATTTGGTGACCTTCTCTTGACTCTGAGGTTCCCCCTCAGGCTTCTGGCACTCAAGGATGATAGAGTTCCTGGAAAAGGTACAGTCTAATTTATTAATCTGGGGGTCATTGCTGCCCCGGGGAAGGTTAAGAGTGGGTTGATTAATGATCTCCTGAGTTGTTTCAAACTTAGAGGTTAAAACTTCGCCACATTTCAGTCGCTCTTTTAAGGACCATTCAAGATCCTGGGGTCTATTTGGAAATAATGATTGTGCCGCCCACTGTTCAGATATCAGACCTGATGCCCTACAGGTATTAATCTGCAGTGGAGTAGAAGGTAGTTGGGTTGGGAATGGGCGCGGGAAATGGTCCTCGGTCAGGACGTTAGATGCTGGGGGAGGCAACTTTTGTGTTTCAAGCTGAGCTTGAGCAGCATCCTGAGGCTGAGAAAAATGTAGAGCTCCTTTAGGTGGAGGTTCAGTTAAGAAAACATTATTAAATGTGAAAGGTTTAGTTCCATGAGCAGAAGACCTTGCTTGGAGCCAGGCTGAAGTCATCAGAGACTCACTATGCAGCGAGGGTAGGCCCCAGAAAAACTGGCTGCGTCTCAGATCCCCAGGGTCTAACTCATCCTTCGAATAAAATCCCTGTGGATAACTGGGAGCCTGCCACATTTCTGCTTCTGTTTCCCACAGGAGATTGTTTATGGTGTGTCTCTCGTTATTCTGTGACTTCAGTAGGTCCCCCAGAGAATCTGGGGGATAGTCTGGGCTCAGTGGTGTGAAAAATGGCCTATTCTTTTCTTTCTCCCTCCATAGCCTTTGGCTCACTTTTTTGGAGATAAACATCTCCAGGAGTTGGATGTTGTTTTTAATGAAGGAGATGCCTCCAGCCACTGTCTGCCAGAATCTGGAGTCTCTCTGGAAGGAGATTTCTGCTGGTGGTGGGGGCAAGCTTTCTGGCTGAGATGTTGTGCCACATGCCCAGGTGCGTAAAAATAAGGTTTTGGCAGATTCCCACCAACAGCACAGCAAATAAATTACACGGTGAAAGCTGTCGAGGCCCAAGGTGGTCCAGGGGTAAATGGTCAAATCAGCATTTTCTAAGAAGTGGGTCCAGGGGATGGTTCCCAGAGATACAGTATTTAAGTTAGATCGTTCTTCTAGGTGGTGTATAGGCAAAGGACACTCGGGTAGAGGTGCTAGGGAAGCCAATGGCAAGGCTCTGGGCGCAGGATTTTGCGCACTCTGTTCAGGTGTCTGCTGGGTTCTATCAGTTTCAGGTTTCAACACCTCATTTGTGGCATCTTTATCTAACTGTTGAAGAAGGTGTTCCTCCTGGTCCTGGAGGTTTTGTAGGTAGCTGCAGGAGACAGGAGGCAGATAGGGGGCCAAGAGGCCAGTAAGGCTGGGCCATGGCGAGCACTGCAGCTCTTGCCCCCTCCATGGCCTGCCACACTGACTTCAGAAAGCCTGTTGTCTCCCCAGCTATAACCACACCCCACCACACCCAGCTGTGTCCAGCCTAAGTAGGAATAACAGCACCAACATGGATAAGTTCCTTACTTTTGCAGAGCAGAAGCCAGATTCGTAGTGACCTCCAGTTTTTCCAGGCAGTCTCTGGTTACTAGAAATGGAGATTAAGATTATGGAGAAGGGAAGAATCTGGGATGTTATTGAAGGATACATGGACTATCCCTTAGCAAAGGAAGCAATTAAGACTCGAGCTAAAATCTCAGCGACCGCAGCCTTATGCTGGTGGCAGTATTAGGAAGGCCCAGGAAGAGGCAGCGCTTCATCACTTACAAGATCCTTCTACCTCTGGCCAACCTCCAAGGCCTTCTGATCTTCCCTGTGGAGGATGGGTTCTCAGGTTGGTGTGTCCATATGTGAGCCTATAGTTCCAACTTCCAAATGAAAGCCACATTGCTCCCAAGTCTCCCACCGCCCCACCCCTCTGGGGTCCTATTCCCCAGGGCTTAGAGCTTCATTACAGCACAAAACCTGAGACGTGTTCCTAGTTCTGATGTCCTTCCCTGGCGCCTCCGTCTCAGGAATCTGCAGTTAGCAACCTTGGAAACCTGGCTGTGGTTGACAGGGACAGGTGAGTTCAAATCCCCTCTGGAGTCAAAGGACAAAGCCTACCTGCCAGAGTATCCCTCTTCTTCCTGCACCTTCTCCGCCATTTCTTCCCCACATGAGTCTGAAACACAAGAAAGAAAGAGATTGGGGCTCCCTTCTCCACTCGCTGTGGATATTCCCTGTGCCTGTATAATATGACATTCTGCCTCACCTGTGTCCTGTCCTTTTCCTGTTTTTAGCATGGTTGAAGGTTTTCTGTTTTCCTCAAAGTACACTGTGATTTCTATGTAAGTCCCACCATAGGTGGCCTCAGTGCTATTCCTCTGTTCAATACTATGGACTCAACTCTGCTGATGCTTCCTCAGGACAGAGGCAACACAGCCTCTGATGGCAGATTTTCAGGGTCTAAGCACATCATTCTGATCAGCCCAACTCTGAGAAGAAGTATGGTCCTCAGACTCCTGCCATGACAGGGGACAGGCGAACTGGTGCTCAATTCCCCAACTCTTACGAGCCCAGTGCTTTACTACCAAGCTTCAGTGTTTGATTTCTCCCTGGCACTTGACACACACAGTGGCAATATACTCATGCCTCTCTCCCGCCTCCCAGCGCCTAGGAGAAAGATGCTCTCTCCTTTCCTGGGATTTCCCCTCTCCAGATCTTGATAGTACTTTTGGAAAAATGAAAAGATCCATAGAGAGCCATTTTTGTTAAATGCAGCATAATAAGGGTTCTTACCTTCTTCAGTCTCTTTCTTTTTTCAGATACAGGTAAAAATAGATTACTCTGTAGGTAAGGGATTAATAAGTGGAAAAGCCCCACTCCACAGACAAAGGCAAGGATCATGTCTATTGCCCATGTTGTGATGCTTGTGGACTTGGGGTTCAGCCATGCCATGAAAATGCTTTTTAGAGAAGAGAGAATATCCTCCATCGTCTGAATCACAGTATTGCTCTCAGGCAACTGAGCTCAGGTAAGCTGCCCTTGGGAGCAGGCAGTAAGGCTCATGCTTGCATCACAGAACTGTGACTTGGTCACAAAGAACAGCTGGGAGGGGGAGGGGCAGGGGGAGGGGGAGGAGAGACTGCACCACAGCCCCTTCTCTGCTTCCACTTTTCAAGGCTTTTTAAGACCTTCCCCAATGCCACCTCCACCCTCTCGATCTGCCAGAGACAGATCTCATGCCATACCCTGTTGAACCAAGCCATTGGCTGCTTCCTTGAGGTCCATCTGTTTCATAACTTTTGAAAACTTGGGCTTGTCTTTGTCATTTTTGTTGTTTCCCAAGAGATTTACTTCAGTCTGGATCTCCTCTGTCTGCAACTCCAACTTTCCCACATAAAGTGTTCATTCCTTGTATCATCTCAGATGCGAATGCACATTTCTTTTATATTTATTTAGCATTGTGAATTTAAATAGAACTAAAAATAATTTCCAATTTCTGTTAGAGTCTTTAATATTTATCTTCAAAACTTCAAATGGTTAAGTATAAAGTTGAATCTATAAAGGATATTTTTAATTTTTTTTCTATTTTTTGTCTTTAGTTGTACAGAGATTTAGTTCAATGTGAGTAGAGTGCATCATATTTTTGGATACTAATAGCTTTTTCTTAAAATCAATGAAAAAGTATAAAAGTTTGACTCTCCTTTAGCTGCTTCTGCTCAAGGATTTTTTGCTCTACCACTTGAGCCAAACTTCTCCTTCCAGCTTTTTACTGGTTAAGTATAGGTAAGAGTTTCATAGACTCTTTTTTGCATGGACTGGCTTCAAACCACGATCCTCAGATCTTAGCTAGAATTACAAGCAGTAACACACTACCACATATCCCCCCTAAAAATTGTCAAAAAAAGTCCACATACAATAAATCTCTCCATTTAAACAGAAGGAAAATGTATTTCCAAATAAAGGCCAAAACTATTGTTGCTATCAATAAAATGTACTACTTTATATACAATATTTAAGCAAAGCTTTTGTATAACAAATAACATATCATTCTTAGATTGTAACTCTTAGATTGGTTTTTGTTTGTTGGCTTGGGTTTTTGTGTTTTTCTTTTTTTTTTTTTTTGCCTGTCCTGGGGCATGAACTCAGGACCTGGACACTGTACCTGAACTTCTTTTGCTCAAGGCTAGCACTCTGCCACTTGAGCCACAGCGCCACTTCTGGTTTTTTTCTGCTTATGTGGTGCTGAGGAATGGAACCCATGGCTTCATGCATGCTAGGCAAGCACTCTACCACTAAGCCAATTTCCCAGCCCCTGTTTTCTTCACTATTGATTTCTAATTTTGTTCCATTATGGTATGTTAGGATAAAGGAAACCATTTCAATTTTTTTTGTATTTTCTTTATGGTATAAAAGATGATATATATTGAAGAAAGTTTTATGAGCTGTTGAGAATGTGTAATCTGCTATATCACAAAATAGTCTCTCTCTATATATATATCTTTTAAGATATATATATATATATATATATATATATAAAGTCCAGTTCACTGATGGTATTTAGTTCTCAGATATCATTGTTGGTATATTTTTCTAGGTGTTTTACGTATAAATGAGGGTGGATTATTAGGCCACTCATTGTTATTGTATCTGATTCTATCTGTCCCCTTATTTCAGTACTGTTTGTTTTATGAATTTGGGGTCATTGGTATTTTGATGCATATATATTTCAAATTGTTATAGCTTCTTGATGAATTGTTCCTAGTATTGATATTAGTGTTTTTCTATATCTCTTTTGACTAGTTTTTGCCTGAAATCTGCTTTGTCTAATATGAATATAGCTATTCTTCTATTGACTTCCACTTGCTTGGTATATCTTCTTCTACCCTTGGTCTTTTAGTCTGTGTGTTTCTTAGTTGTGTGGTGTGTTTCTTGTAGATGAGAAATTGGTGGATACTACGTTCTGATTAAACTTGACAATCTGTGTCTTTTGATTAGAGGGTTAAGCTCGTTAACATTTAGGGTTATGATTAAGAAGTATTTGCTGTTTCCTGTGGTTCTCCTGTTCTTTTTCAAATTAATTATTGTACGGTTGGTTCTTTTCTTTCATCATTATTCTTCTTCATGTTTTTCTGCTTTGCTGAGTTGGGCATGTTTGCTACTTTCTTGGTTATCATGTGTGCCACCCTTCCTTTTGTGAGTCTTTTCTTTCTTGGTCTCTGTGATAGTCTATCTTTCTTTTTAGTGTATATTATTCCCTTCTGTATCTTCTGCACTGTAGGTTTAGTGGACATGAACTGCTATATTTTATTCTTATCTTGGAAGGTTTTTATTTCTCTATCAAAATCTGAAGATAACGTTGCTGGATATGTTATTATTTGCTGGTAATTACTGTCCTGCGGGGTTTGAAATATATTGTTGCTTGATTTCCTAGCTTACAGGTTTGTGCTGTGTGAGGTTTGATGTAATTCTTTTTTCCCCGTGTGTGTATGTATGTGTGTGTGTGTGTTGTCTGTGTGTCTGTGTGTGTGCAGCTTAAATTCAGACTCTCTCCCTTAGCTTCTTCTGCTCAAGGATTTTTTGCTCTACCACTTGAGCCAAACTTCTACTCCCAGCTTTTGTTGGTTAAGTATAGATAAAAGTTTCATAGACTCTTTTTGCATGGGCTGGCTTCAAACCATGATCCTCAGATCTCAGCCACCTGTGTAGTAGAATTATAAGCAGTAAGAGCTTCTTTTTTTCCCTACCTTCCTTCCTTCCTTTCCTTTGTCTGTCTTTCTTTTTTCTAATCGTGGGGCTTGAACTTGGGGTGTTTTGCTTTTGCTTAGCTTTTTCACTCAAGCCTGGCACTCTACCACTTGAGCCATACCTTCACTTCTTTGCTGGTGAACTGAAGAGTCTCTTCAATTTGTCTTCATTGGCTAGCTTCAAAGGTTGATCTTCAGATCTAGCTAGGATTACAGGCATGAGCTCACACTGTCCGAATATCCTCTATTTCTGAAAATCTTTCTTCTGCTTGTTTTTGTCTGCCTATAATACTATCTATTGCTTTTTCCCCTAAGTATCACAATGTTTATCAATAGATACAAGTATATAAAATCAGGGCATGAACATGATATCTATTGCTTTTATTTTATTTATTTTGTCAGTCGTTTCACAATGTTTATCAATAGATACAAGTATATAAAATCAGGGCATGAACATGATATCTATTGCTTTTATTTTATTTATTTTGTCAGTCGTGGGGCTTGAACTTTGGGCCTGGGCACTGTCCCTCAGCTCTTCAACTCAAGGTGAGCTCTCTACCACTTGAACCATAGCACCACCTCCAGTTTTCTAGTGGTTTACTGGAGATTAGAGTTTCACAGACTTTCCTACCCAGGCTGGCTTTGAACTGCGGTCCTCAGATCTCAGCCTCCTGATTAGCTAGGATTACAGGAATGAGCCACCAGCACCCAGCTTGCTTTTATTTTATTTATTTAACTTTTCATTTCTAATATTTCTTCTTGTTTGCCCCCCAGTTTCCTTTTCGTTGCTGATTTTTTTTAACCCATGTTGCTGACATTTTTGTTTAGTTCTTGAATTGATTTCTTGATTTCATCCACAGACCTCACCCACTCTTGGGACATCAACTCTTGAGTAAGCTGAAGGATTTCTCTTCACCTGCTTTTGCAGGGCCCCTCCAAGTTGGCTGTTGTAGATAGGTCTTTTCTATCTCTAGGGCCCCACACCAGCCCTGACTAGGAGAGGGAGGTTCTGTGTTCAGAGAGGCATCTCTGAAAAAGCTCTTCCTGATTTCCAAGGACAAAAAAGGCATTTTCTCTGACATGCCTTCATGTTGTTATGTATTTGTGCACACATTCCAAGTGCTACTCTTTTAGAGAAAGAGCTATGAATCTCTCATTTTGATAAATAATCTAGAGACTGAACCAATGACACATGCATGGCAAATGTCATTACAATCCCGTTAAAAGATCATGATTAGTTTTTAAAATATAATTAATAGTCCAATGGGATTTAATTTTGATAATTTGATAAATGTATACACTGTACATTGAAAAAATTCACCTCATAAATACCTTACATCCTTCTCTTCCTGTCTTTTACCTTCTTTGATGCATTTTATTATACTTTGTAGACTACACATAGAAATCTGACAATGTACTTTTCTTCTCTTTCCCCTTTATACCCTTTTTTCCCTCTTCTTCCCCCACTGAAGCCTTCTATATAATCTTTGTACACTGTCCTCCATCTGCTCCTCCTCTTATCATCTTCATCATCATCACCACCACCATCATCA